AATGACTTACAAAGAGACTTAGACTCCCACACAATAATAGTGAGAGACTTTAACACTCCACTGTCAATATTAGACAGATTAACCAGACAGAAAATCAACAAGGATATCCAGGGCTTGAACTCAGACCTGGAGCAAGCAAACCTGATAGACATTTACAGAACTCTCCACCCCAAATCCACAGAATACACATTCTTCTCAGCACCACATCACACCTACTCTAAAATTGACCACATAATTGGAAGTAAAGCACTGCTCAGCAAATGCAAAACAACTGAAATCATAACAAACAGCCTCTCAGACCATAGTGCAATTAAGTTAGAACTCAGAATACAGAAACCAACCCAGAACCACACAGCTTCATGGAAACTGAACAACTGGCTCTTGAATGTTGACTGGGTAAACAATGAAATGAAGACAGAAATAAAGAAGTTCTTCGAAACCAATGAGAACGAAGACACAACATGCCAGAACCTCTGGGACACATTTAAAGCAGTCTCTAGAGGAAAGTATATAGCAATAAGTGCCCATATGAGGAGAATGGAGAGATGCAAAATTGACACCCTATCATCAGAATTGAAAGAGCTAGAGGAGCAAGATCAAAAAAACTCAAAACCCAGCAGAAGACAAGAAATAACTAAGATCAGAGCTGAACTGAAGGAGATTGAGACACGAAAAACCCTTCAAAAAATCAATAAATCCAAGAGCTGGTTTTTTGAAAATATCAACAAAATAGACAGACCACTAGCCAGACTGATTAAAAATAAAAGAGAGAACAACCAAACAGATGCAATAAAAAATGATAAAGGGGAAATCACAACAGATCCCACAGAAATTCAAACCATCATCAGAGAATATTACAAACAACTCTATGCACATAAACTAGTAAACCTGGAAGAAATGGATAAATTCCTGGACTCCTGTGTCCTCCCAAGCCTAAACCAGGAGGAAGCTGAAACTATGAATAGACCAATAACAAGGGCAGAAGTCGAGGCAGCAATTAAGACCCTACCACTCAAAAAAAGCCCAGGTCCAGACAGGTTCACAGCCGAATTCTACCAGACAGACAAAGGGGAGCTGGTACCATTCCTTCTAAAACTATTTCAAACAATCCAAAAAGAGGAAATCCTTCCCAAATCATTTTACAAGACCAACATCATTCTGATACCAAAACCCGGCAGAGACCCAACAAGAAAAGAAAACTTCAGGCCAATATCCATGATGAACATAGATGCAAAAATCTTCAATAAAATATTGGCAAGCCGATTGCAACAGCACATCAAAAAACTTATTCATCATGATCAAGTAGGATTCATCCCAGGGATGCAAGGCTGGTTCAACATACGCAAGTCTATAAACGTAATTCACCACATAAACAGAACCAAAAACAAAAACCACATGATTATCTCAATCGATGCAGAGAAGGCATTTGACAAAATTCAACAGTCCTTTATGCTAAAAACCCTCAATAAACTCGGTATCAATGGAACGTATCTCAAAGTAATAAAAGCTATTTAAGACAAACCAACAGCCAATATCATACTGAATGGGCAAAAACGGGAAGCATTCCCTTTGAAATCTGGCACTAGACAAGGATGCCCTCTTTCACCACTCCTATTCAATATAGTTCTGGAAGTTCTAGCCAGAGCAATCAGGCAAGAAAAAGAAATAAAGTGTATTCAAATAGGAAAGGTGGAAGCCAAATTGTCTCTATTTGCAGATGACATGATAGTATACCTAGAAGACCCCATCACCTCAGCCCAAAAACTCCTGAAACTGATAAGCAACTTCAGCAAAGTCTCAGGATATAAAATCAGTGTGCAAAAATTACAAGCATTCGTCTACACCAATAACAGACTTAAAGAAAGCCAAATCAAGAACGAACTGCCATTCTCAATTGCTACAAAAAGAATAAAATACCTTGGAATACAACTCACAAGGAATGTAAGGGACCTCTTTAAGGAGAACTACAAACCACTGCTCAACGAAATCAGAGAGGACACAAACAGATGGAGAAACATTCCATGTTCATGGTTAGGAAGAATTCATATCGTGAAAATGGCTATACTGCCCAAAGTAATTTACAGAATCAATGCTATTCCCATCGAAGTACCATTGACTTTCTTCACAGAACTGGAAAAAACCACCATGAACTTCATATGGAACCAAAACACAGCCCACATAGCCAAGTCAATTCTAAGCAAAAAGAACACAGCGGGGGGCATCACACTACCGGATTTCAAACTATACTACAAGGCTACAGTAATCAAAACAGCATGGTACTGGTACCAAAACAGAGACACAGACCAATGGAACAAAACAGAGGCACCGGAGGCAACACAACATATCTACAACTATACAATCTTTGATAAACCTGACAAAAACAAGCAATGGGGAAAGGATTCCATTTAACAAATGGTGTTGGGAAAACTGGCTAGCCATGTGCAGAAAGCAGAAACTGGACCCCTTCCTGACATCTCACACTAAAATTAACTCCAGATGGATTAAAGACTTAAACATAAGACCTGGCACCATAAAAACCCTAGAAGGAAATCTAGGCAAAACTATCCAGGACATAGGAGTAGGCAAGGACTTTATGAACAAAACACCAAAAGCATTGGCAACAAAAGCCAAAATAGACAAATGGGACCTAATCAAACTCCACAGCTTCTGCACAGCAAAAGAAACAGTCACTAGAGTGGATCGGCAACCAACAGAATGGGAAAAAATTTTTGCAGTTTACCCATCTGACAAAGGGCTGATATCCAGAATTTACAAAGAACTAAAACAGATTTACAGGAAAAAAACAAACAAGCCCATTCAAAAGTGGGCAAAGGATATGAACAGACACTTTACGAAAGAAGACATATATGAGGCCAACAATCATATGAAATAATGCTCATCATCACTGGTCATCAGAGAGATGCAAATGAAAACCACATTGAGATACCATCTCACGCCAGTTAGAATGGCGATCATTAAAAAATCTGGAGACAACAGATGCTGGAGAGGATGTGGAGAAAAAGAAACACTTTTACACTGTTGGTGGGAGTGTAAATTACTCCAACCATTGTGGAAGACAGTGTGGCGATTCCTCAAGGCCTTAGAAATAGAAATTCCATTTGACCCAGCAATCCCATTACTGGGTATATATCCAAAAGACTATAAATCGTTCTACTATAAGGACACATGTACACGAATGTTCATTGCAGCACTGTTTACAATAGCAAAGACCTGGAATCAACCAAAATGCCCATTGATAATAGACTGAATTGGAAAAGTGTGGCACATATACACCATGGAATATTATGCAGCAATCAGAAATGATGAGTTTGTGTCATTTGTAGGGACATGGATGAATCTGGAGAACATCATCCTCAGCAAACTGACACAAGAACAGAAAATGAAACACTGCATATTCTCACTCATAGGCGGGTGATGAAAAATGAGAACACATGGACACAGAAAGGGGAGTACTAAACACTGGGGTCTATTAGGGGGAAAAAGGGAGGGCCAGTGGGAGGGGGAGGTGGGGAGGGATGGCCTGGGGAGAAATGCCAAATGTGGGAATTTCTCAAATTTTTCAAAAAAGGGGAAAAGGAAAGCAAAGCACACTGCCATGTGTGTGCCTACGCAACTGTCTTGCATGCTCTGCTCATGTACCCCAAAACCTAAAATCCAATAAAAAAGTTAAAAAAAAAGCCAGTGGTCTTTGATTTGTTTCCTCACTTCCTTAAGATGGTAAAACCTAATGAAAATTATTCAAGGTGCCTGGTCATCCATTTTGTTCTTAAATATCAGTCCACAGAACCGTAAATCAAGAGCAATCCTTCATTCTATCACCTACTTCCTATCAATTACCAATGCTGTCTACTCTATCTTCTATTCTCTTCTCTACCTTCGTGCCATTGTCTTCATTCAGGCACACATCATCTATTACCTGGATGTGCAATGACCTTCTAGCCTCTTGACTCAAGGCATTCCAATCCATTGCCAAACCATCTCACACATTGGTTACCCGAGTAATCATTCAAAAACACAAACATAACCTTCCCTGGGACTAATCTCTATTCCACCCCACCAGTAGCTAATGGTCACTTGCAAGGCAATGTCTAAACCTCTTAATAGTACATCCTAGCCCCCTCACAATAGGGTCCTCTATGCTCACCTGTTGATGCTCCCTTGACTCATACATACCTATGCTATAGCAACATCATTTTTATTCCATTTCCCTGAACATACCACACAATTTCAGGGCTCTGGCTCACTCCATCTACTCTACCTAGACTCATTTGTTCCATTATGTATCAACCCTGAGCATCCTTCAACCTCCAACTGAAGAATTACTTCTACTGTAAAGTGTTTGTTGTTATCCAAGCAGCATTAACTATACTCCCTTGTGTTACTACCATGTAATTATGTCATTGTCTCTAAGCCTCAATTTCCTCAGCTGTATAATATAGATAGTAACTGTATGCTTATAGAATTATTATCAGGATTAAATGAGGTAATACAGGTACAGCTTTTAATACAATGCCTGACACACAGTAGCCATGCAAAATAAGCACAACTATTCGTGGTATTATTACATTAAGGCACTTTTTGCACTCTTACATATTTCTTGGTTTACCTGTCACTACACTATCAGAATGTGAGTTTCTTTTGCTTGGAGGCTTTGTCTTTATCCAGCTCTGTGTAGCCAAGAATAGGCACACGGCCTGGCACAGAGAGGTAACTTACTAGACGGCTACTGAGGAGCACAAACTATAAGATAAAGAATGCTTTACTATTTTCAGTATTAACCTTTCATCCTTAATTACACATAAATTAAATTGTACGTATATGTGAGTTATCTCCTGGTTTTATTTGTAGCTTCTCTCTCTCTCTCTCTCTCTCCCCCTCCCCCCGCTTCTCTCTGTCTCATGCGCGCGCGCACACACACACACACACACTGTATTTCTTGGATTCAAAGATAATAACTAACACAACATTGGTGGGTTTTTTCTTCAAAACCTAAGTGAATTTAATTCTTTAACAAACTCCCCTTCCACTTTCAATCTATGAGAAAATGAATAATTTTTGTTTACTTTTAAAATTTCCATGTCAGAATTCTGTGTTATATATGTGCTAAAATCAAGTGCTGGAGCACCTGGTTCTAGGGTATTTTGATTCCCCCCTCTGACAAAGGTTGTTCTATTGTCACACTGTGAAAGAATTAATGTTAACTTTTGAGAAGGATGTACACGGGTCACTTGATAAGTCAATAATTACCAATTTTCAAAAGTATTTGTAAGCTTGTGAACAAATCTCACATTCATGGTTTTCAAACATGCTGTTGCTTGTTAGCTTTGTTCTAAACTCAGTGAGGTGCTTCACTGGAAAAGGCCATGAATCTTAGCACTGGCCTGGCTGGAGGGAAATGCACTCTAATAAAGTATATATTTTGAATGTGATTGATGTCCAGTTCTATTTACATATTCAAATCAACATGGTGCACAGCAGTGTGCTTTGGGCTATGCAAAACCAAAGCAAACCGATCTGGGAGATGGGGTGGACTAGTAGGACAGACAGAGATAAAACTTCCCAACAGACAAGTGAGCTTGCCATTTCTTGAGGAAACGCCATTCAGAGGAATGTCACCAGCCTGTGGCTAAGAACATAAATGACAATGTTGGCCTCTCTGGAGGATGGGCCTGACAAGACTGGGCAGATCTTCAGGGATCTGAACAATAGAACTGGAGTGCCAGCAGGGAAACTGAGGCAGGCACTCAGTTCCACAGATCACATCACCATAGCAGGGATGAGAGTGTACAGCAGTTCACGGGTGTGCTGAGGCTACCAAGACATGCTTTGTCCAACCAACAATAAAGATTCTATCCCTGTTCAGATTTTGGCTCTGGAAAAGGTCAGGGCTAAGCCTGTAAACAAAGTGGCTCTGTGCTTGCAGCAAGGGGTAGGGGTGGCACTCTCTGTTGTTCTACAAAGGAATCTGGGATGCCAAAGGCAGCTACACAAGCCCCTGATGAAGGGTCACTCTGTGAGTCGATATCAAAACAAGTGAAGAGTAAGGTATTCTTCTGAATTGTCTTCCCTTATCTACTCACATATCAGCTCACTCATTCATTGGCCTTTAGTTATTTGGTTCTAGCTCAAGCCAGAACAGATGTGTTGCTGTGTCCTAGGGCAGTGTATTGCTTTTGAATCAGAAATATGACCAACATGCCAGCTGCCCATAGTCACCATAATTCAGGAGTGTCTGCACAAGTTCTGCTTCAAAACTCAGTTCTGACAGAGAAGGAAGAGGAAACTAACATTCATTATTCTTGGTCTGTTGTAGTGTTAAACCCAATTTAATATTGCATTTCCTTCAAATAAAAAATATGTTAGGTGTTTTAGAAATTTTTCACCTATAGAGAAGAAGAAATTCAGGTTCAGATGAGTTAAGTGAATTGTCAAAGGCCACACAACCACCACCCTGGTATATACAGATTACAGATGACATCCATCTTTCCAAATATTCTTCTCTTGCAACTACATAATGTTGATTCTCAGAAGCATTTGTAATTCTGTTTATCTTTAACTAAGTAGGGGAATGAAGAGAGAGACCTGTGTGCCCCTTCACTGGATGGTGAAGAATATAGAAGAAAATGATAGACAATTACTTGGGCAAATAATACAAACCAGGGGTCACTAAGCTGATAGAAGTGCTTTTCACTGAGAATGACAGTGAAGGGACTGAATGGGAAAGGGACCAAGTTCAGTGAGCGTGACAGAAGGCTACTGACTGTGAACACTTTTGTTCTCATTCCTTACCTGGAGTGAGTCTGTGTCGTGATTGAAACTCACATGTGTAGTCAGAAAACTTCATAGACAACTGGTCTAAAAGTGAACTGTTGAATGAAAGATGTTGTAGTCTAGAAGAGTGGTCAGTGTTCCTGAAATCAAGGAGGAACCTCAAGCTCTGAAGTGGAGCAGCTGAACTTATGGCAGTGAATAGCTTTTTGGATCTGTAAAGGGTACTATACAGTTTCTACTCCTGACCTACCACCATCACCACCAACAATCAAAAACGTAAGACGAGAACTGAATGAGAAGAAGGAAAGGAAAACAACTTTACAAATACCCAATCCTTCAACCTTTCTCTGCCAAGGGAAGCCTGTTAGTCAACATATTTAAACAATTCATATGAAAAAATGAATTGCCAGGAAATAAAAGGAAAGATTTAAGTTCTGTTAGCTATGTAATTTCTGAATCTAATAGGCAAGACAAATAAACAATTATATAAACTCAGAATTCACCATTTATGCTAAAGAGGAAAAGAGAGAATAATTGTAACAGAATGCAATTCAAGTCATCAAAGAGTTACTGAGCACTTATCCCTTGCTGGGATCAGGATTAAGAATCTATCATCTGGAGATAGGTCGACACATGTGTCTGCTATAAAGAAGAACAAATGTCATTGAAATAAGACTATTGCCCTGTTGAAGAGTCTCTCCAGGGCTCCCTTTATGTCCCTGTTCCTTAGGCAATAAATGAAGGGATTCAGCAATGGGGTGACCACCGTGTACATCACAGAGGCAATTATGTCCTTATCGCTGGAGGCGCTGGACGAGGGGACAAAATACAGTCCAATAATTGTGCCATAATACAGAGACACCACACAGAGGTGGGAGCTGCAGGTGGACAAGGCTTTGCAGATCCCCTTGGTAGATGGAGCCTTCAGGATGCTAACCCCAATGTGGCCGTAAGAGATCAAGATGCATATTAGTGGTAGAGTAATGACTGCCTGTCCCATTGTGAAAATGACCAGCTCATTGAGGGAGATGTCTGAGCATGAGAGCTTGAGTAAGGCAGCAAGGTCACAGAAGAAATGGGGGATGGTGTTGTCAGCACAAAAGGATAGCTGGGCCAGGAGGAGAGTGTGAGTCAGGGCATTGGTACAGGAGAGGATCCAGCACACAGCTACTAGCAAGGTACACAGTCCCTCTTTCATGATAGTGGTGTAGCGGAGTGGGTGACAGATGGCCACGTACCGATCGTATGCCATTGAGGTGAGAAGGAAATTGTCCAGATCAGTGAAAAATATGAAAAAATACATCTGAGTTACACACCCTGCAAAGGGAATAGATTGCTCCTGAGTTTGCATGCTGATTAACATCTTTGGGACAGCGACAGATGAAAGGGAGATGTCAGTGAGAGCCAAGCAGCTGAGGAAGAAGTACATGGGGGTGTGGAGGTGAGAGTCCAGCCGGATGAGTAGGATGATGAGCAGGTTTCCGAGCACCGTGATCAGGTACATGCCCAGGAACAGGGTAAAGAACATGGCCTGCTGCTCTGGCAGTATGGGAAGACCCAGGAGGAGGAACTCAGATATGCTGCTCTGGTTCCCACTCTTCATGCTGCTAGTCTTCTCTCTGCTGCAAATAGAGGGAGCTAGGAAAGCAGAAACAAATATTGGTTTGCAGCAGGCAGGTAAGAATAAGATCCTGTCTACTAATGAATATGCCAATGTCAGTCTACATTGCTATGTCCCTACAAAAAAATGATTTAGAGTAGATGGTTTTATCATGCAAAATGAGAGAATTCACAAACGAGAGTCTGATATAGAAAAGGAGAGCAGCTATGTCTAGTCAGTAAAGAGGAAGCCTCACACTCTATTAGCAGATGGATAGTAAGACAACATCTTTCCCATTTGTATTCTGTGTCTGTACTTTTAAAAACAATCATCAGGCTAGTCTTGAGCCTTCAAGTTGTAACATAATGAACTTTTAAAATTTGACTTCAAAATTCATTAGTAAGCAACATACAGGGATGAAGTTTCAATAACATATATCCAAAGGAAATTCTGTCAAAGATAAACAGCCAATTTTCATTATGTATAAAGTTGATGAGAAGAAGAAAACATATCCATTGATTACAATATCACTGCCATAAAAAAGTAAATGTTACAGAAATATTTAAAGGTGAAACCTAATTAGGTCATAAGGGTAGAGCCTCATCAATGGGATTATTTCCCTCATAGGAAGAAACCTGTCTCAGGCATTGCCATGTGAGGACACAGCAGGAAGGCAGCCATCTGCTAACCAGAAAGTGGACCCACACCAGAAACCGAATCTGTTGGTACCTTGATCTTGGACTTCCCAGGCTCCAGAACTGTGACAAATAAATGTCTGCTGTTTAAAGTCACAGCTATAGCAGCCCAACTGACTAAGACACTCACTAAACTAAATGAGACAGCAAACACCATACTTAGTGGTGGTATTTTAAAGCATTGCCATTAAAATCAGGAATGAGAAAAATATGCCAGCTATTTTCTATTCAACATTGTATACTGAATTGTAGTTAGTAAATTGTACAAGAAAATTAATAAAAAGCATAAGTGTCTTACCTTCAGTGCAAAGCAGGCAAAAGTGATTGGGGTAGTAGATGTTTCCTGGGCTCAAAGTTTGCTGTCTTTGATGAATGTTTAAGAATACACTAGGGATTACAGGAAGGAAGTTATCAGGCAGAGTCTAATAAGGAGCTGCAATTCGGATGCTACATAAAGGAAGAAAGGACCCAAGGCTCTCTAGCTAAATGTGTCCTTCAAAGATACTTTCAGGTGAAAGTAGCTGTGCTGTCTAGAGGGAAGGGAATGATCAGGGACTTTGGAACGAAATATAAGAGAGGGCTCCCTAACACTGCATGCACTAAATAAATAAGCACACATTCTAATATCTAGAACATGAATGTTGAGATGAGACCCTTTAGCTTGGATTTTTAGGATATGCCCACCAATTTATGAAGCCAGCTGGCACTATCCCTCAGCTCCCCACAAATGGGGTTAAAGACATGAGAGTCACTGGCCGGTGGTGATTGTTGCATCCCTGTCTTTAGGAACCCGAAATAAAAAATGACTTCAGCAAGAGCATAGAGAAATGCTGAGCACCTGTACAAATGTCTGTGCGCGCACACACACACACACACACACACACACACACACACAGCCCGATACTGATGAAGGATATCCAGTCCTGCTCTGAACTTTATGCTCAAGTCATTCCTGGGAGTATGGACTGATTTCTCAGCTTCTTTATAGGAGACCAGGAGACCAGAGTTAGCCTCTGAAATATGTGGTCCTAAACATCATTGACGTCGGAGAAAAAAGTCATGAACCTGGAGCTTACTCTTCTCAATTTGCAGGCTTCAGAAATGAAGAGGTAACAATTCTATTCTACCCACCAGGGAGAGGACTCAAGGGGACAGGGCACCAAGCTTGTGGTTAGAGACTTGCATTAAACTGCATTAATTCCTCAGTTTTCCTCCTACTTCCCCCAGGACAGATGCCCTAGGTCAGTGATCTCTAAACTTGGATATTCATCAAAATCACCTGGGGAGCTTGTTAAAGATTCAGGTCCCAGCTCCACCTGCAGAGATATCTATTCATGAGATCTAGAGCCAGATAATTCTGAAGCAAGTGTCTCTAAGGGCAGACTTTAAGGAATCTCTGTTCTTAGGAAGATTGCCTGGCCCTGTGAATTTAAGTCCAAAAAGAGATGGGGAAAGACCTCCTGTGCTGGATTCAGGTTTCCCCTAGTTAGGTGGTAGGTTGAGATGTCTATAGAAATTTTTCTCTGAAATGAAAATTCTTTTTTTGTTTTCTGCTTATAAAATTAATTCCTTTTCATGATGGAAATGCAAATAATATAAACATGGAAATGAAGGAGAAAGTCAAAGTATCTCAAACCCTTTTATGATTCATTTTTTATCCTTCTAAGAGGGTTTTTTCACTATTCACAATAGCAAACACATGGAATCAAGTTAGGTGTTTATCAACAGTGGACTGGATTAAAAACATGTAGTACACCATGGAATACTATGAAGCCATCAAAAAGAATGAAATCATGTTTTCTACAGCAACATGGATGCAACTGGAGGTCATGATCCTAAGCAAACTAACACAGAAACAGAAAAACAAATATTGCATGTTTTCACTTCTCAATGGGAGCTAAACACGAAGATGAGAGTAATAGTCTCTCTAGAGACTGCTAGAGAAAGGCTGAAAAACTAACTATTGGGTACTCTGCTCACTATTTGGGTGATGAGTTCATTTGTAACTCAAACCTCAACATCACATAATATACTCATGTTACAAACCTGGATATACACCCCATGAATGTAAAACAATAGCTGAAATTTTTAAAAATAAAATAAAATGGTTGGATGCAGTGGCTCACACCTGTAATCCCAGCACTTTGGGAGGCCGAGGCAGGCAGATCACCTGAGGTCAGGAGTTCAAGAACAGCCTGATCAATGCTGTCTCTACTAAAAATACAAAATTAGACGGGTGTGGTGGTACGTGACTGTAATCCCATCTACTCAGGAGGCTGAGGTAGGACAATCACTTGAACCCAGGAGAAAGAGGTTGCAGTGAGCCAAGACCATGCCATTGCACTCCAGCCTGCACAAAAGAGCAAACTTCCAACTCAAAAGTAAACAAATAATTAATAAAATGAAATAAATGACTTTTATTCATAAACATATCTGTTTACATAATGGAATGTGTTTTATAGTACTTCATCACTTTCTTTTTCTGTAATAATGTGTTGTGACTATGTTTGCATTTCCATTTCTTATGCATATCAATACATATATACCTACTTAAGATTTTTTATTTTTAGCCCATCTTCTCCTGCATTAACACAAAGATTCGCTGTGAAATTTTATTAAAGACTATGAAATGCCTTGAAACTGTCTCTTTTGTGAGTTGTCTAATCACTTCACTAATGATCACATTCAGTCTACCTTATAGAGGATAGTAAAATAATATCGCTAATTCTTTCAATTCTATGTCGTGTTAAAGCTTAGGATTATGGGCCAAAAATATACATGTTTCCAAGAATCTCCTCAAATAAGGGATATCAAAACTGTGTATTACTGTATTATGTCTTTTCTCCAAGTTGCAGAAAGAAAAATAAAATTAATTTAGCATTCACTGATCAAAAACTATTTATAAAGAATAACATTGTTAATAAGAGAATGGAATTCTGGTCAACAAATATTTACCAGTTACATTCAACATGTTAACATTTGTCTTAGGGCTTCAGGATATAAAAGGTTTTGAGACATATTCAAATGGAAAATCAAATACATGAGATAAACCAAAATGAGATTCAAATTGCTTAAAAAGTCAGACGTCACCAAGAGAAAAACTTTGCTCTACTCAAGAGTTTCCCAAGGGCCTCTTTCATGTCCCTGTTCCTAAGGCTGTAGATAAAGGGGTTCAACATGGGTGTGACCACCGTGTACATTAGAGCTACAATGACATCCTTGTCAATGGAACTGCTTACGGTAGGAAAAAGGTACTGGCCAAATATTGAGCCATAATACAGAGATACCACAGAGAGATGGGAGCCACACGTGGACAATGCTTTGCGGATCCCTTTGGTTGAAGGGACTCTCAGGATAGTGGCCCCAATGTAGCCATATGATACCAGGATACACATGAACGGCAGGGTAATAACCACCACCCCTACTGTGAACATGACCAGCTCATTGAGGAAAATATCTGAGCAGGACAGTTTGAGCAGGGCAGCAAGGTCACAGAAGAAGTGGGGGACAGTGTTTGCATCACAGAAAGACAGCCGGGTCAGCAGAAGGGTATGAGAGAGGGAGCTGGCACAAGACAGAATCCAAGATACAGTCACTAAGAAGGCACAGAGCCCTTCCCTCATGATGGTGGTGTAGTGGAGAGGGTGACATATGGCAACATATCGGTCATACGCCATTGATGTAATAAGGAAGCTGTCCAGGTCAGTAAAAAATACAAAAAAATACATCTGAGAAATGCACTCCTCATAGGGTATCGATTTGTACTTTGTCTGCATGTCCATCAGCATCTTAGGGACAGTGACAGATGAAAAGGAAATGTCAGTGAGAGCCAAGTGGCTGAGGAAGAAGTACATGGGGGTGTGGAGGCGAGAGTCCAGCCGGATGAGCAGGATGATGAGCAGGTTCCCCAGCACTGTGGTCAGGTACATGCCCAGGAACAGGGCAAAGAACACCGCCTGCTGCTCTGGCTGGATGGGGAGACCCAAGAGGAGGAACTCGGACACGCTGCTCAGGTTCTCAGGGCTCATACTTCCTTGCTCTCTGATGGAGATGAAGAATGCTTGACAATATTCGAGACCCTGAAATGATCATTTTTAGCAGTCATATTAAAAGATGTATGTTTTAACATAGACACAGGGAGAGGAACAACTGGGACCTATCGGGGGTATGGGGAGAGGAAGAGCATCAGAAAATTTAGCTCATGCGTTCTGGGCTTAATACCTAGACAATGGGATGATAGGTGCAGCAAACCACCATGGCATACATTTACCTATGTAACAAACCTGCACATCCTGCACATGTACTGAACTTAAAATGTATATATATGTTTTATTTCAGAAAGTGCAAATTTTAACCTGCATCTCCTATTTTTCCTTATATTTTGGCATGTAAGAAAACTAGAAAAATTATTAAGGCACATGTTACTGAGAGTCAGCATTTCTTGGTTCAATAACAAAACAGAAACCTTGCACCTGTAGCACTGAGGACTAGGCTGTGGAAAAAAAGTGTTTCAGTCAAGTTATTGCCCCAAAAAGTTAATGTAGAGAGTATTCCAAGGCATCAATCATGGCACAGAAACCACTAGAAGACCTGACTTCACCAGCCATTGTTAAATTTTAGATGACAGGTGGCCTTTACAAATAAAAAGATATATAGTATTCCTCAAATGACTGTTCTTCATATAACAGTCATTATCTTTTAAAATTTGATTTCATTTTGTTTTAAGTTCCAGAATACATGTGCAGGACATGCAGGTTTGTTACATAGATAAATGTATGCCATCATGGTTTGATGTATCTGCCAATCCATTGCCTAGGTATTAATCCCTATATGCATTAGCTATTTATCCTGATGCTTCCCCTCCCACACCCCCAACAGGCCCCTGTGTGTGTTGTTCCCATCCCTGTGTTCATTTGTTCTCATTAGAACAGTTATTACTAAGCATACATTTTTATTTGTTTTAATTACATAGAGGGTTCCTAAAAACTTCTGGATTGTATCAATTCATTTTCTGTACTGCAGTCTTGGAGACCTTTTCTAAAACTACCTTCAACATGACCTCCCCTGTCTAAAAATTCTCAAAGGATTCCCACTGACCTTTAAGATTAGGGTGTATCATTGAAAAGCTAGGCAATACAATTCAGGACATAGGCACAGGCAAGGACTTCATGACTGAAACACAGAAACAATGGCAACAAAAGCCAAAATAGACAAATAGGAGCTAATTAAACTTAAGAGCATCTGCACAGCAAAAGAAACTAACAGAATGAACTAGCAACCAACAGAATGGGAAAACATTTTGCAATCTACCCATCTGACAAAGGGCTAATATCCAGAATCTACAAAGAACATAAACAAACTTACAGGAAAAAAACAAACAACCCCATCAAAAAGTGAGCAAAGGATATGAACAGATACTTTTCAAAAGAAGTTGTTTGTGCAGCCAATAAACATTTGAAAAATGCTAATTATCACTGGTCATTAGGGAAATGCAAATCAAAACCACATTGAGATAGTATTTCACGCCCGTTAGAATTGTGATCATTAAAAAATCAGGAAACAACAGATGCTGGAGAGGATGTGGAGAAATAGGAACGCTTTTACACTGTTGGTGGGAGTGTAAATTAGTTCAACCATTGTGGAAGACAGTGTGGTGATTCCTCAAGGATCTAGAAATAGAAATACCATTTGACCCAGCAATCCCATTACTGGGTATATGCCCAAAGGACTATAAATTATTCTATTATAAAGACACATGCACACACATGTTCATCATGGCAGTATTTACAATAGCAAATCTGGAACCAACCCAAATGTCCATCAATGATAGATTGGATAAAGAAAATGTGGCACATATACACCATGGAATACTATGCAGCTATAAAAAAGGATGCATTCATGTCCTTTGCAGGGACATGGATGAAGATGGAAATCATTATTCTCAGTAAGCTGACACAAGAAGAGGAAACCAAACACTGCATGGTCTCACTCATATATTGGTGTTGAACAATGAGAACACATGGACACAGGGAATGGAACATCACACACCAGTCTTTTGGGGGGTTGAGTGGGGTTAGGGGAGGGATAGCAGGGGGTTGGGGGGTTAGGGAGGGATAACATTAGGAAAAATACAAAATGTAGATGACTGGGATGGATGCAGCAAACCACCATGGCATGTGTACACCTATGTAACTAACCTGCACGATCTGTACATATACCCCATGTAGAGTGTAACAACCTTAATATGGCTTAAAGACCCTGCAGAACCTGCATCTCTCCTCCATCTCCAATTTCTGTCTTGTCCTCCCTTTCCCCCTCAGTCTTGCCAACTTCTCTGTTCCAACCTCGCTGGAAGGCACATTTCCGCTGAATGTCATTTAGACGTCTTCCCCTTGGTGGTTGTGGATTGCTTGTGATGCCGTGTCACGTTGAGAAAGTAAAGACAAGACTAGCTATAATAAAACACTTTAGGCAAACTTATTTATACTCTATTGTCTTCTGTCAACACAAAGCAGTTTAAGTGACATTATCTTAAATTATATTCAAAGTATACTTTTTCTAGTTCTTTCCCAATGCCATCTCCCTTTCCACCCTAAGCAATAACACTCATCCCATAACAAACTGTAAAGGCTATTATCAAAAGATGGCAAAAGAAGTGAGATTTTAGGTGTACTCCAAGTTTTTAGCTCCCTCTTTGGTACCCCTATTGTCTTAAAACGCAACACCTGCTAGTCAGCTGTGGTAAGCAGAATAAGAACCCCCAAAGGTGTCCACATCCTAATCTCCAGAACCTGTAAATCTGTTCTGGTGCATGCCAAGGAGGTATTAAAGTTGTAGGTGGAATTAAGGTTGCTAATCAGCTGACTTTAAACTGGGGAGCAAATCCTGATTATCTGGGTTAGCACAATGTAATAATGAGTCCTTAAATGTGGAAGAAGACATAGAAAAGTCAGAATCAGAGAGGTATTTGAAGACGTTATGCTGTTGGCTTAGAGGATGAAGGAAGGGGCCGTGAGCTAAGGAATGCAAGTGGCCTCTACAAGCTAGAAAAAGCAAGAAAACAGGATTAGGCTCTAGAACATCTCAAAGAAATGCTGACCTCTTCAGTTTTAACTCAGTTAGATCCATTTTACACATCTTACCTCCAGAAGTCTGACAGAATAACATTTGTGAGGTTTTTCTTCACTACTAAGCTTGTGGTAACTTGTTAGAACACTAATAGAAAACTGATACATCAGCATTGGAAAGACTTCAGGTCTGTCCAAATATTCTGGTTATCTAGGAACCAGAACGCAACAAAATCCATGAGTCTTTCCCTAACTTCCATCTTGCATTCAACAAAACAAAGCAATCACTCAGCAGAGCTAATCCTTACCTAACCAGTAGGGAAATGAGGCTGCTAGCTCATTTGGAAGCATGTGTCAATAATTGTAAAGGAGACTATGCCATACCTCTAATGCAAAATTTCATTGTCATCCTTTCCTTTAATAAGAAAAGATAGAGAGTTAGAAAGGGCTCTTACCCATCCATTGGGCTTCTGGCCTAGAGAAAAAATTCAGCAGATGACAAGTCAGTGGCAGGTTTCAAATCTTCCAATTTTTAACCTAGCTATATAGACCTCATGCCAACTCCTGAAAGACATTCCCGCCCTAACAATACATACTGAGGTCAGTAAACACAGTGTTTAAAGTGTGTTAGCCTCAAACATCCTCCTTTTTCTAGTGCTACCAGAGGAATGAGGCATTCTTTCTCCTCCTCCTCTGTCTTCTTCTCCTCCTCCTCCTTTCTTCTTCTTTTCTTCTTCTTCCTCTCTCTCTCTTTCTCTCTTTCTCTCTCTCTCTCTCTCTCTCTCTCTCCCCCCCCCCACTGTCTATCCTCTACCCCCACTTTGGAGGCAATGTGAGGCTGGAGAAAAAGCCACAGATTTCAGAATAACTATCTTAGGGTTGTTCTTTGATTGTGGCATTTCTGTCCATAGCAGGTTTCTTAACTCTTGCAAATCTCAGAAAGATGAAGCTCTTTAAACAGCATCAGTTATACCCCATAAGGTATTTGTAAGATGAAACGAGATGACATATTTTAAAGTTCTAGTACCTTTGCTTGCATAGTGCTCAATAAATGTTGGTCTCCCTCCTGCCACAATTAAAGACAAAATGCAAATCTACCCAGAGAGGGGCCAGAGGAATTTACATCCTTTTATATGCAGGAGAAAATTATTTATATCAATTCCTTTGCTGGACTCTGGATGTGGATTCTTAGACAAAGATGTGAAATTGAGTATAAAACTGGTGGCAAGCCAAGAGCAGCAATATAGAACACATATGAGCACAGAGGGAAAATGATCATTCTACTGTGGAAGTTCTCATTCAGACAGGTGAGAAACAGGTGCTGCTTACCAGGGAGGGAAAACAAACAAGAAATTCAGGAGAGAAGTTTGTTCTCACATAAGCAGCTTATATTCTGATGCCCAGAAGATGAATGCAATGCCTTGCTGAAGACTGTATTTGGGGATGAGCTGGATAATTTATCAGGCAGCCAAGTGCCAGTCCTTCAGCACCCTGTGAAGACTCAAAGCCAACGGCAAGTGGATAACTGAGTGTTCAGCAAGATGTAAAGAGATGACTTCGTTTGCCCTGATCCCTGCCTCCTAAGTATTTTCCCCTTTAATGATCGGTTTAAACACCATTCTTCTTTTCTTCAGGTGCCTGCTGATTGCTTCAAAGGTCATGACTTCTGACAGTTCTGACACAGGCAGACATCAAGAACTAAACAAGTAACCACATTGGGGAGACATTTGTCCTTATAAGGTACATGCAACCATTCAACAACCAGACCCTTGAAACCTACCACAGATAAGGCACCAGATTACTGTTGTCTTGACTAAACAGAGAGGAATATGCTTGTCATCAAACAAAAATTATCCGGAATATTGGCAGTTGAATAATTTTTATAGCCAATGAAGGAAACATTTTGAAAGTGTAGAAGGGCTTCCTAAAATTCCTGTTTTAAACACCTAAACAACGTTGGAATGATAGGATTCTGTGCTGTTCACATCTGGTTTTCTATGTCAGGATCGAAGGCAGAAAAAAATTCCTCTAGTATGTCAGTCTCTCTCTTCATTTGTCTTTTTCTCCTTTTGACCTTTTCTCTCATCCTGTCTATGTTTGCCCCTCAATATCTCTCCATTCCATCCTTTTCTCTCTCACTATCCCCATCTCTCTGTGTGTGTGTCTTTTTATATTCACTGTCTCTCTTCTCCCCATGCCAACCACAGCCTTCTACTTCGTCCTCTTCTATATCCACTTATAAATTCATCTATCGCTGAAAGGAAGAAAATATGCATTCCATCTCTGA